AACGTGTTGTCTATCGTTTACGTAATATCGAATCAAAAAAATTTTCTCTTTTCTCTTATAGTCCCTAAAATAAATCGAATGCAAGGTTTATGTCAGGACGTTGTATATTAAAAATTCATTAATAAATTAATCGCTAAAACGTCAATCGAAATATCCTTTTTTTGTTCGATGAAATCTCGACTATTTTACGTTTTTTTTTACTGTTACCAATACTGAATATAGCAAATAATAACAATAATAAATCTGTAAACATCCAAAAATAGTTTAAAGGTTAATTTATACTTTCTCGGTTTCGTTATATGTAAGAGGGAAAGTATAAGAGATTTGTTAAAAAATGATGCCCCGTGCTTTTTCAGTTTTCGACTTGGAAAACTTGAAACATCGAGAAATGTAAAAATAATTCGGATTTTTTTCTGTACATATGGATGTTAATGTGAATGCAGCATGATTTTGTTCACCCTGTGTGAAGCTTAATTTCTGTGCTTTTTGTCGAAAATTTGGCAGGGAGTTTAGTTTGTTAGAGGGATTGAAGGTATTAAATTTTTGTGATAATGGGTCGAGAGAATGGTGAAGTAAAGAGGGTATCTTAAGTGGTGTCAGCATTTACAATTGTTCTACAAAATTCATACCTGCCTTCAAAATTAAGCTTTTTGCCATTTTATAATAGTTATAAATATAAACATTTAAAAAATTTAATATAATATCAGATGGTGGGACATAAATATTATATGTTGCGGGTTAAGTTGAGAAAGTCGTTGCTGGTTTATTTTAGCTGTAGACTTTTTGCTTCAATCTAACTGAAAATCCTACAATTTCGCAGGGGAAATTGGGAAATGCATAATTTTCGATTTAACAATAATTTATTATTAGATTTTTAGGGGTGCTGCAGCCAGGATCAGGTCATGCTGGCTATGGCTCCAAAAACTCTTGGTTTTTACAACACCCCTTGATATAACTATAGATATAAGGAAGTACTAATTGTGTTGAAATTCACTTTGCTTTTAATTTCACATATTTTTAGTTTTGACTTTATGCCAGTAGAAAACTTTTTAACCGAATATTTATTAAAGATGATTAGTATCCGGAAACGTTATTAATTAATTGTTTTGTAAAATTTTTTGTTAAATCTTTTGTTAAATCTTGTTTTGTTAAACCTCCCTGTTTTTGTTAGTTTGCTTTATTTTTGCTATTTTTCTTTACATTATAAATCTTGGCCGTTTTCAATATTGTTACCTTATGTTTTTTGTAATTATAGATCGTTGTCTCGTTGTCTTGATTATTTTTTTAATTTTACACTTATATTTATTAATTCCGTATCTGAAGGAGAAGGTGCGGTTGGAAATATCGGTGGAGGAATTTCCGCCGGAGGTGGCGGAAGAACCGACGTAACTAACCGATCGTGAAGATGTCCTCGGACGTAAAGTTCGGGTTTGATCAAGCAACATAGAACCAATCCTACAAATACCATTACGGAACCTACAGTAAGGAAGACGATGGATACAACCATGTGCACTTCTAATGCCATGTTGATCTTTCTGGAAATAAATAAATAAATAACCTAAATATACTACATTTAAAACAGAATAGAAAAATCGAAAAGTATCATTTAAAATTTAAGTGTTTTTCTATACGCAATATAGTAGAGCATCGATTATCCGACCCCCAATTAACCGTCACTTCGGTTAACCGACCGTGTTCTAGTCGGCAAATTCAAATGTCCGCTAGTGATGTAGCGCCACAATATTTGGTTATGTCTTGGCTATTTAATGTTATTTTTACATGTTTTAGCTGGCAACACCGGATCGACCATGAAAGGGAGCCTGTATTTGAAGGAGGCTTAATTTTCTAATTTTCAACGATACAATAGCGACGATTATTATTTTTTAAAAAATTTGATAGGCTTAACATGGAGGAAAATTCATCGCGAAGTAGGTTAATAGCGATATACTAATATACTAATTGGGATATAATAATATACTACACTAGTAATGGATTTTTTCATACTTTTCGGTTATCCGACTTTTCAATTAATCCGACCAACCCCAATTCCCAATTGAGTCGGATTATCGATGCTCTACTGTAGTTGGATAAGGCAATGATCTATCAATGGGTATTGCATGCCAGGACTTTCTATACGAATCTATAGGAATCTAGCCTCTATTTTGGTATTAGACAAGTGAAGAAAACGCGGAAAACTCCATGTGGCCAGTCCTTTGGTGAGGTGCAAACCCGCGACCACAAACTGGATCAGAAAGTTCTAGGAGGAATTTTTAACATCTCTTATATGGTGGCATCTGCCTCCATATGCCTCAAAATAAAGATCGATTGCGTCGTGGTGCTTCTCAGATTTTATTTTATCCCGAAGTGTAATAGAAAATGAATTGTAAAGAGACTTTTATAGACTACTATGTTTCAGTTTGTTAGTTACATTTTTCGTGTATTATTAAATAATTAGTCTTAGAAACTTTATAAACTTCACTGTAAGTAAAATTTTAAGGTTTAATCGAAATTGAGTTTCAGTGGTATTTATAACCTATTTATAAATAATAAGTCGCTTATTTTATATTACAATTTTATTAAAATAATAAAAATTTGAAAAGTAAAAGTGTTCGCATCGTAAGTACCTAATAAGTGTCCTATTATTTGTGGAATGAAGGATAACGTTAACTATATGTTAATAACAGTGGCGTAGCGTGGATGTAAGCCGCCCGGGGCGGAAGAAAATTTCGCCCACCTTATTTAGGTATCTCAATTTAAAAGACAAATTCAGTTTCGTCACAGAATAAGTAATGAAAATTTTTGTGCTAGTGTTGCCACCTTATTAAAATCGCCGACCCGGACTGCAGGTGAGGTTTGTTCGAATAGAAGTTCCTGACGCATGCGTATGTCATTTTGCAATGCGAAGAATAATGTGCAGTGCATGCCGGTTCTAAATCAGTTACAGTTAGCGACTAGTGAGACTTGGATAGGAGTAACGCAAGTGACCTAGCTGTATTGGATATTGGAGGTGTATATATATACGAATAAATAGTAGAAACAAAAAAAAAGTCAACAGGTCGCGCACGATATCCCCGGACGGCGAGTCGATTCCCAAACTATCTGGTATGGTATGGTATTCCGTGCTCATTTCAATCGGTCCGTGTCGTAGGTGGACGAAAATATGAAATAAAATGGTTCAAATTCTTACAAGATATTATTATTATTTATTGTCAAATTTTGCCGCCCGCTAAAACGTAATTTTGCCGCCCCCTAAAAAGTGCCGCCCGGGGCGGGCCGCCTCTGCCACTCCCACTACGCTACGCTACTGGTTAATAAAATATTTTGGTTTGCTCAATAAGCGCTTGTACTGTACATGCAGTAATTAATTGCTACTAAAAATTGAGTTATACAAATCTTTTTGAAGTATCGATCGAATATTTATCTAAAGCCATTTGATTTCAGATAATATTGTGCAACTTGTTGTATGCTATTATCCTTCACTGTAATCTTCTTGAGTTATTTATTTGATATCAGATTTTTAAAACAGTCTCTTAGAAAAGCTAATTAAACTCAGACAATCAACTTCTATTCCTTGAAATTTTCGACTTTGCTCGGAAATTCAACGATTTATAAAAATAGCTCATAAACAATCCTATTCTGGAGATCTGATAATAATTACTTTTAAAAATTTTAACCTATAAACGCAGAGAACGAATAAATTTCTGTTTTATGCTGTTCTCAATGTTGTAACGATGATGACTTAAGAGACTGTCATCATAAACTCTTAAATGTGTTTCATTACTAATTTCATTTAATTTATTACATTTAATTTATTATTTGGGAATAAATAGCAATCGAATTTAATTTAACGTTTTACTTTTAATTATTGATTTGATTTGAATTTTTTTTACCTTTTGCTTAGAATTTATATTTTTTTAACAATTTGTCATAAAATGATAAGTAATTGTCAATGCCCATGTATTATTATAAGTAGGCCTATAAATTAGGAAAATGGTTATACTTACGATCTCTACGTTACAGGAGAGAAAGAACGATTAAAATGATATTTGAATAAGATTTGTATATTTCATTGTTACTTTATTACTTTTTACTAAAGAATTAAACTATTTAAATTTCTCTGTTTTCAGGTCGAATTCTGTTTTAAATAAAAAAACAATTGGTATGATATCTCAATTAGTAAATATTCTAATTTATTAGAAAATCTCCTTTGATTTGGATATACATTTGCATATATTATATAATTATATAATACATAAGAATTTATACAAGAATTATTCTTTATGATAATAATTTCAATTTTTCAAGCTGTACGAGAAGTTCATCGAAATCGATAAATTATGTTCAGCCGATCTACCGTTAGAAACTAAAATGAAGGTAAGACAAATAAATTTAAATTTTTAAATTGATTTCTGAAATTAACATATAAAATAGAAATATTATTACTTTGTAAAATGCTAAATTTCATGAAAACATATGGGAAAACTTCATTTGAAATAAACGCCTTATGTTAAAAAGAACTTCTTCATTCGAGTAAGCTCATTTAATATATTTTTTCATGCTTTATTAAATCAGTAGAAATATTACTTATAATTGCAAGTATTGCACACGAAAAAACTTTTATTCATAAAAATCATATTTAATTTAGAAGGCTATGATTTGCTTCGCTTATATGAAGAAAGCACGAACACCATTTATCGCACGTAAGCAGTGGTCAATGGCCAATATGGTCATGAATTACATGATCAACACGCAAACAAATAAAGATGGAAGCAATACACAGAGCATCTTTACGTCAGTAAAACGGAAGTTGATACCCAAGGTATTGAAGAGGAAAAACTTACAGAGCTGGAGCCAGATATCTTAGAACAGGTGGTATGGGCACTCAAACAGCTGGCTAGCCACAAGGCCCCAGAAATGGATGAAATATCAGCAGAGTTACTGAAACCTTTACCATTAAATGTTTTAACAGCACTGTGCCGAAATGTGTGGAAGAATGGCCAATGTCCAAAGGATTTCAAAAGATGTATTTTTATCCCCATACCAACAAAGAGGATACCAAAGATTGCTCCAACTATCGCATCATCGCTCTGATTTCACACGCTAGTAAGACTCTACTGGAGATCATTCAACAAGTACTCAACCACAGACAGGGAGATTTCCGAAAAGGAAGAGGCACATTTGATCATATCGCTAACCTTCATTGGATGATGGAAACAGCGAGGGAATACCAAAAAGATCTATACATGTGTCTCATTGATTACTCAAAGGCTTTCGATTGTATTGATCATGACAAGTTGTGGAAGTGCCTCAAGGAAATGGAAATCTCACCGCATCTCACCCAGCTCATACGATCGTTATATTCTAAACAGAAGCCGCTGTAAGGACTCCATATTGTGATACACACTGGTTCAAGATCAGAACGGGTACCCGCCAGGACTGTATCCTTTCACCATCACCGTTCAATCTGTATGCAGAGATGGCAACGAGGAAACCAGATTTGAATCAGTCTAACACTGGAGTGAAAATTGGAGGCAGGAACATCAATAATCTTTGATATGCAAATGTTACCACTCTCGCGAAAAGTCAGGAAGATCTAGAGCAGCTGATTCTAAGAGTCAAGCACGAAAGTGCAAATGTACGACTGCTTCTTAACTTCAAGAAGACCAAAATAATGACTACTGCACAGAATACGAAAGTCAAAATAATGATCAACGGTAAAGAAATCGAGGTAATGAAAGATTTCATATTCCTCGGGTCCAAAATCAACCGTAATGGTGATTGCAGTCGTGAAATCAGAAGACACATTGTCCTCGATGATCAGCATGAACAGCTTTTAGAAGAGCGAAGACACTTGCCTCCAAATTAAATGCAGATTAGTTAGCGCGATTATTTTTTCTATGGTCATATATGAATGTAAAACTTGGAATCTATAGAAAACGGACAGAAGGAAGATAAACGCTTTCGAACTATGGTTTTGGTGTATGGGGTTGGGCTGCAAGAAAAGTGCATGTAAGACGTAAATTAATATCTTCACAGCGACGTGCTCTTATGTTAATAACTAAAGCTTATCGTACAACTAGTAACGCAAGTCTACAGGTCATTGCAAGGAAACCACCTCTGGATCTATACATTGAACAAAGAAACAAAATACAGCAAGTTAAAAAGGGAGAAACTATACAAATAGATTCTATATATATTACTCATGACGAGGTTGAATGGACATATCCCTTCAGTGAAATCAGTACTTATAGTATCTCAATGGAACACGATAATTCAGATACGAATAATCGAACATTGGTTATTTACACTGATGGATCCAGACATGATGGCAAAGTTGGCTCCTCCTTTGTTGTTTATGAAAATAATGTCGAAGTTTATAATCAATCTATACGTCTACATGAAAGATGTACTATCTTTCAAGCAGAACTTTATGCTATTAAAAAGGCAATTACGTGGACTATACAAACCCAGAATAATGAGACAATAATTTTATATACGGACTCACGTTCGGCATATAACATTATTTATAGTAATAAGTTACACCATCTAGCAGAAGATATACGAAATTTAATACGCCATGCAACGTGTAATATTAAAATACACTGGGTCAAAGCGCACCAAGGCGTTACTGGAAATGAAAGAGCCGATATGCTAGCCAAATATGCTGCTGAGAATACAGCGCTACCTATTGAATACGATAAACTCAGTGTTAACACCTTAAAGAAAATAATTTGGGAAGAGACTATAAAGATATGGCAGCAACAATGGGATCAAAACAGTTCCCATATCACCTATAAATTTATTCCAGATTTGAAACACTTTTATTCAATTAAGTATTTTTATCCTAGTCACATCACAAGTCAAATATTTACCAACCATGGAAAATTTGCCTCATATTTAACTCGATTTACATCTAGAAATGACGATACTTGTCCTACTTGTCATATAACTGACGGTTCAGAACACTATTTCTACGACTGTGTTATGTTCTGCAGAGAGAGATTGGAAATGAGGATCTTTATGGACGAACAAGGCATTAACTGGCCATGCAAACTTTCTGATATATGGGCTAATCAGGACATTTACAATGCCTTTAATAAACTAGCAGATAGCATCTATAAGATTACAAATCAGATTATACGTAACTAAGAGTATTATAAGTTTATTAGTTTCATTTAAACTTTAATGAGTATACTTTACTATGTACTTAACGTTGTATGTACTGATATTTTATTTTACAATAAGGGTATGTTTGAAGAATTATTAGTAGGTATTGTAAGAAATATATAGATATTAATTAAATGAATTTGGTAATATTTTGGTGAATATTGAGATGATGATTAAATATTAAACATATTGATTATGTTTTTGGATAGATAATAATCAGAATTTATTTTGTCATTTTGGTATAAGTCAACCTGACGACGAAAAGTATAAATGCATAGAGTAATCTTGAAAACAGGAAATTAGTGGACTGTTCCCGTATTATACTGAAATGGATTGATACCACTCAATAAATACAGAAGTGCTACAAAATGCAGAGAAAACTGAAAATATTAATACGCTAATACATAAACATATAGATTTTGGTATCCATAGGAGACAAGGACATGTGCAATTGAACGTACGACTTGCAGATAGTGCTTAGTGCGAACTTTTAATTGGCACTGAACTCCTTTCCGAAATTTATGACTAGCGGTACTGGACCTCTAAAAT